GAAGGAAGGAAGGAAGGAAGGAGGAAGGAAGGAAGGAAGGAAGGAAGGAAGGAAGGAAGGAGGAAGGAAGGAAGGAAGGAAGGAATTGCAGAGGTATATCCCCGTCACCGTAGTTTATTGCACCAAATTAACAGTCGGATGGCAATTGAAAAGTTAATCATGATTGGTGAGGTATTTGATCAAGATGTAAGAGTGGTTACCTTAGAACAGTTTAGATACAATCCTGCCTAGGTAAGGGAGAAGCAGGTGATAAGATAAGAGGAAAAATGAAGAACAGAAGAGGCAAGCGGTGAAAATGATTTTACTAGTTTGGAGCCATTTCATTGCTGATGAAATGGCCCCTGTCTTCAATCTGTTCTGAGTCTTATAAAAATCTTCCGCCCCCAAAATGCATTTTCTTCTTCTCTGCTTGGTACAAGTCTTTTTGGCTGTCTTCAGAATCTATCTATCCCTCCCTCCCTCCCTCCCTCCCTCTCTCTCTCTTTTGTAGTACACAGCCAATTTTGATTCATTTGCAAATGCCTCCCGTTTAATCATCCGTCTGAGGATAATTCAGCTAAAGCTGTTTCCAATAACTCTTTATTTTATTGCATCGGATCGTATTGTTTTACTTTATTATTTTATTTTGTCTTCACTTTTTTATTTAAAACTTCCTTTTTATTGTTTGCCTGTTTTATTCCATTATTTAATTTACTCCATTCTATTATTCGTTAAGACTCGGCGCAGATAGGAAGGCAGTGCAGAAAAACCGAATAAGCGTAAAGCGGAAGATGGATTATTTCTCACTACAGAGGGGAAAACATGGATGGAGGGGGAAATGGTTTGGGGTTTGAGGTGGCAGTGCCAACAGTTTTAAACAAAGAAGAGATTTCTATTCAGTCCTGATCCCATTGGGAAATTGCTTCTCTTGCTTTTAAGATCAGACTAGAAATAAAGAAGGGTGGCTCAGTGGCTAAGATGCTGAGCTTGTAGATCAGAAAAGTCGGCAGTTCAGCAGTTTGAATCCCTAGCGCCGCGTAACGGAGTGAGCTCCCGTGACTTGTCCCAGCTTCCGCCAACCTAGCAGTTTGAAAGCAGGTAAAAAATGCAAGTAGAAAAATAGGAACCACCTTTGATGGGAAGGGAAGAGCGTTCCATGCGCCTTCGGCATTTAGTCATGCCGGCCACATGACCATGGAGACGTCTTCGGACAGCGCTGGCTCTTCGGCTTTGAAACAGAGATGAGCACTGCCCCCTAGAGTTAGGAACAACTAGCATGCATGTGCTAGCTTGCTTTTACCTTTAGAGAAGGACCAGGGGAGATTATTCTGTTCTATTCTATTCTATTCTTTCTCCATGACTTTGACTTCAAGGTCAACTGCTGTAGCTAACTACCCACTGTTAATGAGAACCTAAAGCCAACTCATGGTCCATTCCTTTTCTCCATTCAGCTGTCATCTTGAAGATGTTGAGAAAGGCTCAATCCGGTCAACTTTGGGAGCTGCAACTTCTCCTTGTGGAGACCACGAAGCAGGAGCGTCTCTTCCTGGAAGTCAACATTCATGACTGAGGGACTTTCCCAAGTCAATGAACCGAGGGCCGCACTCTCCAATGCCACCAACTCTACCGATTGCGGAGAGGACACCGTGCTGTACGGGGACACGGAAAAAGTGGTCATTGGGACCGTCATCTCCATCATCACTCTGTTGACCATCGCGGGAAACAGCCTGGTGGTCATCTCCGTCTGTACCGTCAAAAAGCTTCGGCAACCGTCCAATTATCTGGTGGTTTCTTTGGCCGCCGCGGACCTGTCCGTGGCCCTGGCGGTCATGCCTTTTGTGATCATCACGGATTTGGTGGGAGGCAAATGGCTCTTTGGAGAAGTCTTCTGCAACGTCTTCATTGCCATGGATGTCATGTGCTGCACGGCGTCCATTATGACCCTCTGTGTCATCAGCGTGGACAGGTAAGGGCGTGGTCTTCTTCAGGTCTGACCATAGAAGGTGGAAGTGACCATAGGTGATCCTAGAAGTTCGGCTTGGAGATGACCAGGGGAAGTAGACCTCCCCAATCTGGGGTCTTCCATGAGTGTTGGTTTTCAAAGACTCTGTTGAAGTCCAGCTCATTCGGAAGATCCCAACGAGAGGTGAGCTAATCTAGGTTGTTCATCTCTATCTAATCTAATTTAATCTAATTTAATCTAATCTAATCTAATTTAATCTAATCTAATCTAATTTAATCTAATCTAATTTAATCTAATCTAATTTAATCTAATCTAATTTAATCTA